TGTTCATTAGTTGTGCCTTCCAGAGTGACCAGCCAGAAGGAAAATCCAGCCCACTGTTCTGGGCATTATCCAAGACTGAGAATTCATCTCTGCCAGCCACATCTCCCTTACCTTTTCCTTCCTTCTCTGTTTCCTTGGAAGCCTTCAGGGTACTTTTGAGTGACAGCTCCCAACGGATTCCAGATGTGCTGGTCTGAAGTCCTCTCTACAGAGTTCCCAGTTGGAGGGCCTGATTTCATAGACTCTATTCCAAATTACAGGGGCCATCTGGAAGGCATGGAGTTTTCATCCTCCTCTCCTCTCTCTCTCTCTCTGAGGCTCTTCCAGAGAGGCAGAACGGTGTCATCATCATGAAAGTCCGACTTGCGGCCTTTTTAGCTGCTGTGTGACCTTTGACAAGTTGCTTCCACTTGTGAGATGTAAAATGAAGAGCATAATAGTATATAGGGTTGTTGTGAGGGCTTAAAAAGAAGAAGGCACATAAGGTGTGTACCTCAATGGGAGCTACCGGCCACCACTCTCCCCACACACCCCAGGGCCTGACCCCTGCCATCCCAGAGTCCCCAGTTTGAAGCTGAGAGATCCTTCTGGAGCTGAGATGTTTCCCGACCACACCTGGTGCCTAATGTTCCCCACTCACATTCCCTCCACTCCCCGTCTCCTCTTTCCATAGGATCAGCTTTCACCTTGGCCTCTGGCCAAAGGGATCATGATCTCTCTTGCCTTTGTCTGCAATGGGTGGCTTGGAAACACTAAGGGATTGGGGCTCCTGATTCCAAAGAGGGCAGCCAGAGGGCCGTCCTGCGGACGGGGGCTAAATGCACACCTGCCCCCTAAGGAGAAACTGAGGCCGAGAACCAGGCCAGTGCTGAGCTGCTAAGGGGATCTTGACATCTCGAAAGGAGGTCCATCAGAGGTCGCCAGGGGCAGCAGCGAGAGGAGGGATCTGGACCCTGCAGCTTCTGAAGTGACCTCTAAGACTGGCCAGAGGAGAAGATTTGGGACAATCCCCCAAAATGCCAGTTATCTGCTATACATAGAATCAAGATCCCGAGAACGTCCAACAAGGACAGAACAACTGGCCAGATCTAACAAGATAAAAGCAATAACCAGCACAGGTCAAATGCTAGATTGAGGACCAAGAAACCAAGAGGGGCTGGGGCTGTAGCTCAGTGGTCGATCGCTTGCCTAGTATGTATGAGGCCCTGGGTTCCATCCTCAGCACCACATAAAAGTAAGCAAATAAAATAAAGGCATCCTGTCTATGACAACTATAAAAAAGTTAAAAGAAAAGGAAACCAAGAGCACACAAGAGATAGGGAAGACCTAGTAGATCCATATTGGTCAACAAAATGACCTGACCTCCAAAAACATCCATTTAGCGTGAGGTCATGTGCTACTCAGCTTTCTGTCACTGTGACAAAATGCTCGAGTTAAGCAACTCATAAGGAAAAAAGGTTTATTTTGGTTCACAATTTCAGGGGTTCAGTCTGTGGTCAGCTGCATCCATTGTACTGGGCCCAAGATGAGGCCGAACATCATGGCGGAAGGGTGTGGCAGAGGAAAGCAGCTCAGGACAGGATGGCCAGGAAGTAGAGAGAGAACTCTGCTCCCAGGAAAAAAAACATAAACCCCCAAAGCACATCCCCAGTGACCTACCTCGTACAGCCACACCTACCTGCCTACAGTCATCACCCACTTAATCCACATGAATGGATTATTCCATGGATCAGGTCATGCCTCCTATGATCTAATCATTTCACCTCTGGAAATTCTTGCGTTGTCTCTTGGGGGGACACTCATATCTAAACTATAAGGTCCTGTTGGGTTTGGGCCTCCTGTGGCACGGTATATGACAGCAGGAGCATGTGGTAGGGAGGTCTGTTCACCTCATAGAAGCAGAGAGAGGGGAAGGAAGTGGCTGAGGTCCCAATAACCCCTTCAAAGGCCACCCCCAGTGACCTTTCTTCCACTCATCCCTTTCTCCAAAACGTTCCACCACCTCCCAGTAGCACCACAGGCTGGTGACCAAGCCTTAACACATGAGCCCTTGAGAGACACTGTAAATCAATCTATAAGAGGTCATATTAACACAGGAGTAGATATTAGGAAAGAGGAGGTGAAAGCTTAGTTTATGGCCAACAGGGTTCATTCCCAAGAGTCGTACTTTAAGGGGTGCATCATGGAGTGGTAAGAAGCAAACAGGAGAGACACCATAACCTCAAGAGCCCAGAATCCTGTTCTAAAAGAGAAGGCTGAAAGAAATGGAAGAAGACTCCAGAGAAATGAGAGGGGCCGATCCGATTCTGAAGGGGCTCACAGAGTGGAAAGAGGGCTGCTCAGATGGCAATGGTGAGATGGGAAAAGCCCACGCCACCTTCCAGAGTCAGAAGAGCTTCAGGGCAGCTGTGGGGGAAGAGACCTGGAGCCACACCTACTTGGGAGGCTGAGGCAGGAGTATCACTTCTGCCCAGGAGTTCAACATCAGCCTGGGCAAGATAGCAAGGCCCATCTTAAAGGAGAGGGAGAGGGAGGGGGAAAGGGAGAGGGAGGGGGAGAGGGAGAGGGAGGGGGAGAGGGAGAGGGAGAGGCACAGAGAGAGAGAGAGAAACTACATGATGTAGGTCTTGGCATAGCCAGAGGTAGGAAACCACTGGGAGGGAGGTTTAACTTAATTTTGGAAAGAATTTTTCTTTATTTATTTCTTCCTTTATTTATTTATTCTCTGTACTGGGTGCTGAACTCCCAGGAGTACTTTACCACTAAGCAACATCCCCAGCCTTTTTTATTTATTTATTTATTTATTTTGAAATATGGTCTCACTAAGTTGCTAAGGGCCTCATTAAGTTGTTGAGGCTGGCCTTGAACTTGAAATCCTCCTGCCTTAGCCTCCCAAGTCACTGGGATTTCAGGTACGTGCAACTACCAACTAAGCACTCTCATATATATATATATATATATATATATATATGATATAAATTACATATTATATGTATTATGTAAATATATACATATATATACATATATATATTTCTTTTTTTTAAATTTTTTATTGTTGGTTGTTCAAAACATTACATAGTTCTTGATATATCATATTTCACACTTTGATTCAAGTGGGTTATGAGCTCCCATTTTTACCCCATATACAGATTGCAGAATCACATCAGTTACACATCCATTGATTTACATATTGCCATACTAGTGTCTGTTGTGTTCTGCTGCCTTTCCTATCCTCTACTATCCCCCCTCCCCTCCCCTCCCCTCCCCTCTTCTCTCTCTGCCCCCTCTACTGACATTCATTTGTCCCCCTTGTATTATTTTTCCCTTTCCCCTCACTTCCTCTTGTATGTACTTTTGTATAACTCTGAGGGTCTCCTTCCATTTCCATGCAATTTCCCTTCTCTCTCCCTTTCCCTCCCACCTCTCATCCCTGTTTAATGTTAATCTTCTCATGCTCTTCGACCCTACTCTGTTCTTAGTTACTCTCCTTATATCAAAGAAGACATTTGACATTTGTTTTTTAGGGATTGGCTAGCTTCACTTAGCATAATCTGCTCTAATGCCATCCATTTCCCTGTAAATTCTATGATTTTGTCATTTTTTAATGCAGAGTAATACTCCATTGTGTATAAATGCCACATTTTTTAATCCATTCATCTATTGAAGGGCATCTAGGTTGGTTCCAGTCTTGCTATTGTGAATTGTGCTGCTATGAACATCGATGTAGCAGTGTCCCTGTAGCATGCTCTTTTTAGGTCTTTAGGGAATAGACCGAGAAGGGGAATAGCTGGGTCAAATGGTGGCTCCATTCCCAGCTTTCCAAGAAATCTCCATACTGCTTTCCAAATTGGCTGCACCAATTTGCAGTCCCACCAGCAATGTACAAGTGTACATTGAGTGTAGTGATGGATACTTAGTATGTCAGGAACAATCCAAAGTGGGACCTTTGGACATTTGATATCAGACATGAAAATGTACAGAACTACAGATTTAACCATGCCTCAGCTAGGAAACAGTTTGACAGGTCTGACAGGTGTCAATGTGCACAAGATATGCATGCAAGAATGGCCCCACTCCATTATTCCTGCTAGTAAATGGCTAGACCCAAGCTAAATATAATAACCACAAGGGACAGGAAAAATAAAGATTACCAGCTGACCATATGCAGGCATTCTCAACAGCATACACAAGAAGTGAAGTAGACCTTTGGATATATACGTGAGATATGTGCCAGGATGCTTTGTAACGTGAAGGGGGAAAGCAAGCTACAAAAACAACACATACAGTATGATCTCATTCCTATTTATGTAATTGTATATGTAACTGCATTGGAAAATGATCTGAAGAATACACACCAAGCTGCAGGGAGGATTTACCAGTGGGTGAGGATGCATGCATGTGTGAGTCCCCATAAGATATCAAGGAAGTGAGCTCCCCGTCTTGGGAGGAATGCAAACGGAGGCTGGCTGTCCTGCTTGCAGGGATGCTGCAGGTTTTCCCACGTCCCTGGGAGGCGACCTCAGCTCTGTTCCGAGAGAAGCTCTGAGAGAAGGGAGGTCAGGACTGGGAGAAGAGTCCACCCCCAAGGGGAAAGGGTTAAGCGGGGCTGGCGCTCCTGTGGGCGGGCTCGATCGGCAGCGCCGGGCTCTGTTGGCCAAGTCTGAGCATCTCGGAGGCTGCGGCGGGGAGCGGCTGCGGGGACGCGCGCAAGGTGAACGGGGCTGCGCCCAGGTGAGGAGCCGGCCCTGGGAGGGGGCGATGGCAGGACCCAGGCCGGGCGCGTGGCCTGCAGCCCTCCTTGAGGGTGCGGGCGACCAGGCCGGCACGGAGCCCACCCGCAGCAGGGACACTGCGGGAAGGCGCGGAGCCAGGGCGAGGAGACCGGAGGAGGAGGAAGAGAGGTAACCGGAGATGGACCAGCTCCTGCGGGCTGCCCTGCGGCAGCCCCGGCCCTGCCCCCAGGCCATTCTCTCCGTCCTGCGGCAGGGAAACCTCCCCACCCCCCAGCGTCTCTCCAGCAGTGGGTCCCCAGCTCTGGGCGAGCCCCCGCCTTATCTGCACGTGCCCACATCTCTCCGATCGATGGGGGTGGTAGGCAGATGGCATCTCTACCACTGAGGGCTCAACTGAACCAGCTCCTCCTCTGCAAAGCTTTTCCAATCCCCTCTGCAAGAAGAGCCATAGTGGGCTTCATTTCCCCTGGTGTGTCCACTCGGCTGGCTGTGTGACCTTGGACCAGTTGCTCAACCTCTCTGAACCTTGGTTTCCTCCCTTGGGAGATGGGTATACTCCCACCTGCTTGTAAAAGGAGGGCAGAATGACCTAGAGCTCAGCTTAGCACAGGAGCCTAATGGGTAGTTCAGCCCAGGAGCACTATTAATAATCAGTACCTGTGTTACAGAAGGGCCTCTCTGGGTCACCCTCTGCATACCCTTAGTTCCAACCCTGGAACTGAGACCTCTTTGTGGGTCTCCAGCCCCTCCCCTGGGCTGGGAGCACAGCACTGTGCTTGGGGAATGTCTAAGAAACCAACAAACCAGGCTGTAAAGGCAGAGTCTGGATTCGGGTTTGAGGTCTCGGAACCCCCCTGAAATTATTACATGTAGAACCATGACAACCAGGGCCTAGGAGGGTCAGGCAAGGAAGGCTTCCTGGAGGAAGGGGGCCCAGGCTGAAATGAGCCAGTGCTTTACTGCTCCTGGGTATCTATCTGCGCTGGCCTCTCTCTCCCTTGGTGTTCCCATGGTCCCGTCTCCAATGGCTTCCTGGGGCATGAAGAATAACCTCCAAGGGCCTTATGGTGGCCTGCAAAACACCTTTCGATCTAGCCCCTGCCTTCCTGATTTGGGGGCAGTGGTTAGTGGGATTGAGCGGGGGGGGGGGGGGGGTGCGCTGTACCACTGAGCTACCTTCCCAGCCCTTTTTAAACACTTTGAGACACGGTTTCACTGAGTTATACAGGGCCTCGCTAGTTGCTGAGGCTGGCCTGGGAATTCCTATCCTCCTGCCTCAGCCTCCTGAGTTGCTGGGATCATAGGTGTGCACCCCGCGCCCGACTCTGACTTCATCTTCTACTTTCTCCTTTGTGCTCCAGCCTCGCTAGTGTTCTTATTTCTTGAACTCATTAGCTCATGCCTGTCTCCGGGCCTTTGCACTCTCTGGACCCTCTGCCAACTGCTTTTCCTTCCAACCTTCTTAGTATTCAACATTGAGCTTAGTTATCACTCCAGAGAGGCCTTCCTGGCACCCCCTGTGTAAAGAGGCCCTCATCCCTCTCTTTCTTAACCCTGTTTTATTTCCTTTATAGCTTAACTTGTTTAAAATTATTTATTGTCTGTTTCTTCATGAGAGCAATCTTGTTCACTGCTTTATCCCCAAGACCTGGCACACAGTATGCGCTCAATCTATTTGTTGGAATAGTTAAGAGAGGGGTTGGGGCTGTGGCTCAGTGGTAGTGCACTGGGTTCAATACTCGGCACCACATACAAATAAATTTTAAAAAAAAGATCTATCAACAACTAAAAAATATTTTTAAAAAAGAAATAATTAAGAGGAACAGAGAGGGTTGGGGTGGGTCTCAAGGTGTTCTGTCCATCGACAAGTATAAATTTTTTTTTTTTTTTTAAAGAGAATGGGGAGAAAAATCTTTCTGGACAAAGGGAAAAGCAATAGGGATCTAATGTTAACTAAGCCCCTATTATAGGCCTGGTCCTGTGTGTTTTCTCCTTTAAGTCTCATGAGAACCCCCTTGAAGTTAGGTGCTCTTATAATCTTGCTTTATAGATGAGAAAACTGTGAAGCAAAGAAGTGAAGTCAAGGGCTGGGGTTGTGGTTCAGTGGTGGAGCACTCACCTAGCACACATGTGAGGCCCTGGGTTCGATCCTCAGCACCACATAAAATAAATAAAATAAAGGTATTGTGTCCATCTACAACTAAAAAGTATTTAAAAAAAAAAAAAAAGTCAGGCGTGTCAGAGCACATCTATAATCCCAGCAACTCAGGAGGCTAAGGCAGGAGAATCACAAGTTGGAGGACAGCCCAGGCAAGTTAGGAAGACCCTGTCTCAAAATAAAATAAAAAGGGCTGAGGATGTAAGTTCAGTGGTAAAGCACTTGGCCAGCACATGTGAGGCCCAGGGATGGATGCCCAGCATGGCAAAAAAAAAAAAGTCAAGTCATTCTCACCCAGTAAATGGCAAAGCAGGGATTCCAACTTGGTCCCTCCTCAAAGACAGGTGCACATTCTTCTTCCTGTCTACCATTCTCTTATTGAAGCTGGGCCTTCAAAAATAGAATTTCAATTAGTAAAGAAAGAGAAGGCAGAGGGCACTCAGGAGCAAAGCCCTGGGAATTAGGACAACAGGTGAGCAGACGGGGCTGGCTGTGGCCTTAGAAGGCCGGGAAAGGAGCTTGTGTTCTCTCCTAAGGGCAGTGTTTCATTCCAACTCCCAAGCTTCAACTCAGGGTAGCCACAGTTCCTCCCCTTCCACAGGAGCCCCAAGGTCAAGCAGAACAGCCACCACCTAGAGATGAGCCATGGAATTTGTTTGTTTGTTCTTGGTTTTTTGTACCAGGGATTGAACCTAGGGGTGCTTAACCACTGAGCCACCTCTCCAGCCCTTTTTTGTATTTTCTTTAGAGTCAGGGACTTGCTGAGTTGCTAAGTGCCTCGCTAAGTTGCTGAGGCTGGCTTTGAACTTGAGATCCTTCTGCCTCAGCTTCCTGAATCGCTGGGATTACAGGTATGTGATACCGCGCCCTGCCATGGAAGGTTTTCAAGCAGGGCAAGTGGGCAGGGCAAGTGGCATGACCAGAGATGCAGTTGTTTGTTTTTTTTTTTTGGTAGAGAGAGGTAGAGAGAGGGAGAATTTTAATATTTATTTTTTAGTTATCGGCGGGCACAACATCTTTGTTTTTATGTGGTGCTGAGGATCGAACCCGGGCCGCACGCATGCCAGGCGAGCGCGCTACCACTTGAGCCACATCCCCAGCCCCAAGAGAGATGCAGTTTTAAAAGCAGGGGAGAAGCTACTGCCTGTGTCTCTTCTTTCTTTCCCACCAGTCCCTTGGGGAAGCCATAGGAACCCCCAACCTTCACGTCATCCTCTCTCCTCTTTTTAGGCTCATCCAGTGAGGATTGGAAGTTGAGGTCTCTACACCGGACATCAGAGTACATCATGGCCCCACGGCCTCGTGCGCATGGCCTCCTGCTGCTGTTACTGTTGCTGAACCTGGGGGCTGGCCCTGCTCTGGGAAGGGGCCTTCCCAGGCCACTTGAGGACTCAGAACCCCACCTGACCCCAGGAGCCCACCCCAAGGGCCCTGTTGGCTCAGTGTCCCAGGCCTCTGATTTCCTCTGGGAGAACCCCAGTGATGAGGGCCCTTGGCACTCTGATGTCCCCCAGGTTCCTGCTGAAGGCCCTGAGAGGCCTGCAGACTCTCCCCTTGGCCCAGCTCTGCATGGGCCCAAAGCAGCTCACAGGATTCAGGGAGAGCGACTCCCAGTAACTGATGACCTCCAGATAGTTCGAGGGCCCAGCTCCCAGGGCTGGACAGGACCCCCTGATTCACAGGAGCCTCCAGAGCCAGAAGCAGCAGTCCCCCACCCAGTGGGTCTCCCCCACCTCCCTTTCATTCCAACTCCCAAGCTTCAATTCAGGGTAGCCACAGTTCCTCCCCTTCCACAGGAGCCCCAAGGTCAAGCAGAACAGCCACCACCTAGAGATGAGGGTCCAAAGGCCAAAGCCAAGATCAGGCTCCCACAGACTTCTCCCTCAGACCCCCAGGGCCCTCCCCTCACTCTTGAGCCCCACGCAGGTGCTGTCAAGAGGCCAGTGCTAGAGGAAGAGGTGGGCCATGAGGAGGATTTCCAAGAGGCAGTTCAAGGCCCCCTCTTCACCCAACAAGATCCAGCAGTCCCCAATGCTGGCTCAGTATCCCCGGTTGAGGTGGCACTCACTCGGGAAGCAGGGTCCCGGCCAGACTTGGCATTGGCTAGAAGCCTTCCTCCTGCTGAGGAGCTACCAGTAGAGCCTCCCAAGAAGACTGGAGCTGGGGAAACCTGGGAAGTCAGCTCCCCAGGTCCCCAGCCCATGCAGACGGACCTCCCTGATGTTAAGGATCCCCCAGGACCTCAGCCCACACATCCTCCAGCCTCAGAGGCTCCTGATGGGCAGCCAAAGCCAGGTAGGTATCAAAGAAAGGGTGCTGAGCAGGGGTGGGAAGGGACAATGTTCCTGGGCAGTCGAAGACCCCAGTTCTGTTTGACTCAAGGTCCCATTTTCCTCATTTGGACTTTTTTTTTTTAATCATTTCAGAGATAGCAGCAATGAATGGAGCAGACCCCATCTCCCCACAGCGGGTGAGAGGAGCAATGGAGGTTCCAGGAACCCCCAAGTCCCTCATCCCTGGTCTCTTAGACCCTGGCCCAGCTACAAACCAAACAGAGAGCCCTATGGGAGCCCTGCAGCCAGGTGAGGGCATGGCTGGGGGTCTGGGGGGAGAGGGTATACTCTGTTCAATAATCAGGAACCCATGTGATGTTCGCAGAGGGGAAAGGGAGCTCAGGAGTAACCAGAGATAAATACTTGCTTAAAGAAATTGTTTATATGCTTGTAATACCAGCAACTCAGGAGGCTGAGGCAGGAGGATTGCAAGTTTGAGGACAGCCTCAGCAATTTAGCAATATTCTGTCTCAAAATAAAAAATAAAAGGGGCTAAGGGTGTAGCTCAGTGGTAAAATGACCCTGGCTTCAATCCCTGGGTGGAGGGGTTGGGGGGAGAGAGAGAAAGAAATTGGCAAAGACCTTGTTCAAAAACTGAGGATAATAAATTAATACTTACTGGGTACTCTGAGAGAAGTCATTTGCTCTTTTGCGAGGGGCTAGAATGTTGTAACATAGTAACATGGACACGTTTGGTGCTGTGATCTCCAGAGGAGTTTTTCAAAAATCCCAGTGAGGGCTGGGCTTGTAGTTCAGTGGTAGGGTGCTTGACTAGCATGTGTGAGGCACTGGGTTTGATTCTCAGCACCACATATAAATAAACAAAATAAAGGTCCATCAACAACTAAAAAAAGGGCTGGGATTGTGGCTCAGTGGTACAGTGCTTGCCTAGCATGCATGAAGCACTGGGTTCTATTCTCAGCACCACATAAACGAACTAAATAAACAAAATAAAGGTAATTTAAAAATATATATTAAAAAAAAAAATCCTAGGCTCCAGGTCACATTACAAGAAATTGATTCCTTGGTCTGCAGGTGATTCCAATATGCAGGCCATGATGAGAAATGCTGGGATTTCCTTAATAGTTAGCTTAATAAAAATGGTGGTTCACACCCACTAGGTGCTCACTGGCATCCAGCACCATGTTAAACATTCTTCTCCACGACTCGATGAGGCAGGAGCTGTTTTCTTGATTTGATGGATGTTCTTAGAGAAGTTAAATGTTCTACTTGCCAACCACAGTAGAGAACGATGGAAAATCAAGAGCACTTTTCAAAAGGCATTTTAATATTATTGCAGATGAATCGGAGGAGTGGCCTGGACGTCCCCAAAGCCATCCCCCGGCACCCCCAGTCCAGGCCCCATCAACCTCACGAAGGGGCCTCATTCGTGTCACTACGCAGCGAGCCCTGGGCCAGCCGCCCCCTCCGGAGCCCTCAGCCAGCTCCACAGCTTCAGCGCCTGCTTCCGGCCCCCCAGCCAACGCCACCGCACCCCCCCTGCGCTGGGGGCCCTTGCGACGGGTGTTGAGTTTTTCCTGGGAGCTGCACGTTTATGGGGTGGGAGTCCTCTTCCTGCTGCCTACCTTACTGGCACTGGCCACGCTGGCAGCCGCCCTGGCGGGACCCCGACTGGCACTGGTAGCCGCGGTGCTGGTGCTGGTAGCTTCAGGGCTGCGGTCTGCCTACATGCTCACCGACCCTTATGGCGCCCAGGCGCGGCTGGGGATGCGCGCTGGCCTGGTGCTCTACAACCTGCCGTTCCCCTTGCTACTCACGGCCCTGGCGGCCCTGACCCTACTCGGCCTGGGCGTGGGGCTGCCACAGCCGCTACAGAACCCGCTCCTGCTGGGGGTTGTGGCGTTGGTGCACGGCGTGGGGTTGCTCATGACAGACCTGTTCTCCGTGAGGCCTGTGCTCAACCTCCTGGCGCAGGGTTTATCTTGCGCCTGGGGCGCGTCGGTGGCTCTAGGCACGCTATGCCTGTGCCGTCGCCGCCTGCTGGAAGGCCCTCGGGGCTGGGATGCCAGCCCCGGTCCTCGGTTGCTGGCCGTGGCGGGCTCACTGGGGCTGCTGGCCAGCGGCTTGCAGTTGGCGGCCGCGCTCTGGCTGTACCCAGGCCCAGGCCGGGTGGGCCGCTTTTCGTGGGCCTGGTGGGGCGTCCACTTCTGGCTGCGCCTGCTGGAGCTGACGTGGGCGCTCGCCCTGGCTCTGGCCGCTTTGGTCGCTGCACGACCCAGGCCGCCCACGGAGCACGCTTGCTGGGCTAAGCTGCTGCGCCTGGCGTGCCCTGCACCGTCTGGAAAGAGCGAGGTGCCTGAGCGACCCAATAACTGCTATGCGGGACCCAGTGGCATGGGCACAGGCGGCTTGGACATCAGCAAGAGCCTCATCCGCAACCCGGCAGAAGGCGGGCCGCCTGTCACGCCAAATTCAGGAGCCTGGGGCTCAGCTGCGTCGCTGGGTCGCGGTCCCCTGAATGGCCCGGGAATATCCCGCAGCAGCATGGGGCCGGCGCCGTCGCTAAGCGAGCTAGACCTGCGGCCGCCATCACCCATCAACCTGAGCCGGAGCATCGACGCCGCTCTCTTCCGGGAACATCTAGTGAGAGACAGCGTGTTCCAGCGCTGCGGCCTGCGTGGCCTGGCCTCCCCACCGCCGGGGGGCGCTCTACGGCCGCGCAGGGGCAGCCACCCGGACGCCGAGCTCGACGGCGCGGGTTCTTCGCTCCTCCGCGGCCGCTGCCGGTCACTCAGCGATGTGCGCGTGCGCGGGCCGGTCCCGCCGCACGTAGTGGACGCGCCAGACGGGACGGCAGCTGCCTCTGGCAGCTCTCTAGACAGCTTCTCCAGAGGTTCGCTCAAGATCAGTTGGAATCCATGGCGTCATGGGCTGTCTTCGGTGGATAGTCTACCCCTAGATGAACTTCCCAGCACGGTACAGCTACTGCCCGCTGCAACACCAGCCCCTGCATCCTCTCCTGCGCGGCCTGGGGAGCCCCAGGGTGAGGTGAAGCCGCGCTGCAAGGCTGGGGACTCCCGCAGCGCCTCCAGCGATACCATAGAGCTCTGAGCTGTCCCGCTGCAGGACCTGGACCCTGCGCTATGGCATACCAGGACAGTTGACCATTTGAAAAACTGGCTTTTCTGGGCCTCCACCTGACAGCACACCGGACCCCACCCGACAGCCAGGCGTGAACTCGCCCCCCCCCCCCCCACTTTTTTTTTTTAAATATCTCTATTTTTTTCAGCAGGTATTTTGCACAGAGGCCGTGACTTACAGGGAATACAGGGTGGAAGTGCATGGATTTGAGCGTCGGGAACAGGGAACAGGTTCCCCACAGTGAGGAGAGATGAGCCTTGCTTGTCCAGATTGACTGTCCTCTTTGTGCCAAAGAAATAAAATCTTAAGATTTGGCTCACGCGTCCCTCTGCTCAAGCCAGGCTCCAGTATCCAACAAGAGGACAAGTTGCTCCAGGCTTTGTTAATGACAACTATCAGTGTCTCACCAGAATATCTGCTGGGCACTGATTTCAGCTCTCAACATCTGTCATCTCATTTAATTATCATATTAAGGCCAGGCACGGTGGTGCACGCCTATAATCCGGAGGCTGAGCTGGAGGGTCTGAAGTTCGATGCTACCTTCAGCAACTTGGAGAGACCATGTCTCAAAATTTCACAAGAGGACTGCAGATGTAGTTCAGTGGTAAAGCGCCCCTAGGTTTAATTCCCAGTATACATTAAAAAAAAAAAAAATCTCACATTAAGCCTGAAAAACATTATCAGACCCATTTTAGGAATGAAAGGAGTGAAGTTTAGAAGTAAAAGTCATTTATCTTAAGTCCTTCTGCAAATGACAGCTGGTACTGAACACAGAGAGTCCCTCACTTAGGTTGGTTCTTCTATCCTCCTCCTCTTAACACTACTCCAGGGCCAACCTTCTGTCTTCCCTGTACTTTTTCAGGTCAGCTCTCAATTTCCCAGAATGTTAGAAAACTTCCCTAAGGAGGTGGTGGGAGACAGGTAGTAAGACTGGAGCTACTCCATTTTCCAATACTTTTCTTTATTTCCTGAGATGGATAAATAAATGGATGGCTGAGGGAGATGGGGTGAATACAGAAAAGGAGCTGGCAGCATGCAGCTGGCAGGAGAGGGCTGTGGCAGCCCTGCCCCTTGTGGGGACCCCTCTCATCCTAGGCAGGAACCAAAGTTCTCTAGCAACCACCACGAGGGGAAACCTTTCAAATTCACAATACTGTTGTGAAGGCTGCCCAGTCCCCCCTCCCACCCCTACAGGCAAAGATTTAATGAGATCCAGCATCAGGGCTACTTCTTCACCACAGGGGCCACACCTGCCCAGGCCTGAGAGCCTGTGCTCCTCCATAAGGCAGGAAGGGGGTGTTAATCCCACTTTCCAAAATAAACCAAGCTGCCCTGAGTGTCTATCTGGAGAGAGGCCCAACAGTGGGGGCAGCCTGGGTGGGAGGAGATCCTACATGTGGTGACAGGGATTATCTGCCCTTGATGAAACCCTCCAGCACTCGGTCACTGCGCTCTGACAACCAGTATCCAGTCATGGCTGCCACAGCCCCTATGAAGATGGCAGTGAACACCAAGTCACCCTTAGCAGCAAGTGTGGCCAATGCACAGATGATGACACCAAAGAACATCTGCTGCAGCACCACCAGCTCATCCTCTGTCATTTCTGAGAAGAAGCCCGCCGACTCTGTGGAGGAGGAGAAGATGCAGCCTGTCATTCCTACTCCTGTTCCTGGCAGTTCCTGGAGCTATCCCAGGACTCCCACATACTCAACTGCTGCCAGGCCTGCACAGCACACCAGGCACACAGCATTGTTTACTGCTCAGAATGACTCCACAAGGGGCAGTTACCCCAGTCTTGCTAAATGGAAAGCAGGCTCAGAGAGATGGAGGGGCTGGTCCAAGGCCATGCAATGGGCGAGTTGGGGGCAGAACACATGCTATGTGTAGTCCAGTTCCAGTGCCAGACCATCCCCATTTGAATCCCAACTCTGCAACCTGCTTGCAGTGTGGGCTTGGGTAGGTTGTTCCGCCTCTCTGCATCTTATATTCCATATACATAAAATGGGGATGAGAATCTGTATGGCCTTGGGTTGTTTCAAGGAGCTAAATAATACATTTCGTGTGCTTGGAACAGCATGTCAGACAAGATAAGAGCTGTGGAAGTAGTCCCTAAGGTCACGGCTGTAATTACTCTTCTCACATCTCCGGCCTATGGCAGCTCTCAGGCACAGGGGACAGGGACTGGTGCCACTGAACAGATGAGGAACAGGCTTAGGGAACAGGGTAACTTGATCCCAAGTTCAATTTTCATTCTTCCCTGGGAGGTAAAGCTACTAAAAGCCAAGTTGGAGAGAAGATGCAGGGTCCAGAATTCAGTGCAGCCTCCTAGGGGACTGAGTGGCAGTGGGGATGGGACAAGAGCTTATTCCTGCTGCTGCCAACTGGAGAAGGGGCTCACCTGGGATCTGCTCCTTGACGCAGATGCCCTCTACCTGTTTGTAGCCCTCAGCACAGATGCAGCGGTAACCCCCTTCCGTGTTCTCACACTGCTCGTTCTCTCCTGGACACACTGCAGTCTCACACTCATCCACATCTGGTGGGGGGAGAATGGGGAGGGGTCAGAGTGCTGACTGCAAGGCCCCACCATGCAGCACCCTGACTCAATCCCATTCTCGATCTGATATTTCCCTCTGTTGCTGCCCAATCTACATTCCACCTGCTTTCCTTCTGCTCCCTGCCTGTATTCCAGCCCCTCTCAATTCACGGTGGACAAGGCCCTCCCAGATGCCGGTCCCATCAGAGAAGACTCACCGAGACACTTGGAGCCCACCTGCTGGTAGCCAGGACTACACTTCTTGCAGCGGCCTGGCCCTGCTCCCATGCAGCCCAGGCAGGCCTTGGCGCAGTCTAGGGAAGGGAGAGACAAACATGAAAGCTGCCCCTAGGCCTGGGGAAATGCTCCAGAAGAGAAGGCCCAGGGGACTCCAGCCTGAGAAGACAGAATTTTGGAGGGAGAGGCATGCAGCAGTTCCTCCTCCCCTCCTCACACTCACATCCCCTCCACAGGACAGACACAGACCTCGGCACTCATAGGAGCCTTCTGTGTTCACACAGAACTGGTCAGCCCCGCAGTTGGCTCGCTCAGTGCCACACTCGTCGATGTCTACAGAGATGGAAAGGGTGGGAATTTCAATCCTTATTTAATTAATCAGCAGGGAAACCGAGGCCAGAATGGTCAAAGAATAAACTTGCTTAGGATTATGTGCTGTGGCAGAGACGACAAGCTTCCCACAAACAGAAGTAGAGGTGTAGCTAGACTCAGCTGCCCATGCAGAGACTATGGTTTCCAGCCTGCCTTGGGATTGACATCCGAACAACAGGATGTAAACAAAAGTAATGTACTCCACTATTGGCCTGGCCTTAAAACAATCTTCCCCTTCTCACTTACTAAACGTCCGGACGTGGATCTCAGGGACCTGTGACTCAGCATAAACACGCAGATAATGCCCAAGGGGAGGACTAGGTAGTAAGAAAGAAGGAACCGGGGTCCCTGAGTGACTGTGACAAACAGAGCTTCCCTGCCAGACTGGCCCACTCACTTCAGGACTGTAATATAAAACAATAAATAAATCTCTACATTCTTCAAGTCACAGTCTTTTGGGAATCTTTCTATTACAATGGCTTAGTCCCTCTAAGTGGCAAAGCAGGAACCAAAATAAGTATTGAACCCAGGTTTCCTGACCCTACATTCAGTGTCCTTGTTTCTCTGGCTAAACATTCTCCAATATTCAAGACTTAGCCAAAGTGACACATGCTCCAGGAAGCCACTGATTTCTCACCACTACCTCCCCTGAGCTGCATCCCAGACCACCCCTCACCAGACACAGGTCAATCTCCACTGGTTACTTTTCTGCCTTCCCAGCCAGGGTGAGATCTCCATGAAGATGAGAACTGTGTTGTCTAGCTCAGGCACCTGTGTTTGTGTGTGTGTGTGTGTGTGTGTGTGTTGAAAAAAATGAAGCCAGGCCCTGCCCACCCTCCCCCAGGACCACACAGGCCCCACTTACCTACACACTTGAGATGATGCAAGGCCCAGCCCTTCTTGCATTGCAAACAATTTGATTCCTCAGGTCCCGAGCAACGGGCACAGGGGCCAAAACAAGCTGGGTGGAATAGGTGTGGTATGAGGATGGGCAGGCAGATGCCCCTTCTGCCCTTGCCCACCACCACACAGTTGGTTACCTACCCGAACATACCAGATGGCTGGTGTTGCGCTCTGCCTCAAAGTAGCCAAGGCCACACTGGCCACAGGCCTCACCCCCGTAGCCGGCTTGGCAGTCACAGTGCCCACTGCCCCCTCGTGTCCCTTCCCCTTCGCACTGCCCGTAGCCGCCACAGGGCCTCTCTGTACCCCCAGGACAAGCTGTGGGCAGACACCAAACTGGGTGAGACCATATATACCACCTTGACATAGAAGAGTATATTTTGCATAACATCAAATACATTTGGAGAGGAAAGTTTATTTTAATGATTACATATTTGGTCATAAAACTGCACAATCTATATCCTATTGTAGAACACATAGCTTGTTAAAAATCTTTTTCCCCCCTTTGGGTAGTGCTGGGGATTGAACCCAAGGCTTCATACATGGGAGTCAAGCACTCCACCACTGAGCTACATCCCTCCCAAATCTTTTACAGAGACTGAACTGACCATCTTAGTAGCTCCAGCCTTTTATCTTCAGGAGCTGGTGGTAAGTTCAGCTCTTGTGTCAGTTCTGGGGAGGGGCATCAATGGTGAATAATCGGGGTTCAGGGCAACCCCTGCTCCTCCCAGGAAGGTAACTTAGTCTGGTCTGGCGCAGGAAATGAAGAGGGCAAGGGAGCTCTCTTGATAATAACCACAACTTGATAATAACCACAACTGCATCTCGCTCAGTCTAGCCCCTGTACATTTTTTCAAAGCCTAACCCACTGATTTGCTCATCTTACCTGCTCCTGAGGCAGCCAAGAACTGATACTCAGAGAAGTTATCTGAATAGCTTCAGCTCACAAGGAGGTAGAGCCAGAACTGAATCCCTGGCCTTAGCAAATCCCTCCCATTCCCCAAGAGGAACTTGAGAAACTCACGAAGGCAGGAGGGCCCAAAGGTGCCAGAGGGGCAGCAGAGCTTCAGGGAATCTGAGCAGAGCCACTGGAAGAGATCCGGGGCTTCCTGCTGCCTGAGGCAGGTTAGGTAAAAGGGAGGGGATTCTGAGACAGTGTCAGAGGTGCTGCTCAGCCCCCTACTGCCCACAGAATCTCTGATTCCACCCATCTTGGCCATAAGGCCACCCAATCATGCTCTTTTCTTATCTGGCAAGGAGTTAAACAACCTCAGCACGGGAGCTTGGGTCCTCCAGCAAGTCCTTGGAAGATCTGGGGTTGGAAGACACTGAACTGGGACACGCACACAACCCTATACTTCTTGGCCAAGCTAAGATTTTGCCACCAGGCCCTGCCTGTAACCTACTCCCGGAAGGCCTCCATGTCACTCACTTGTGAAACCACCAGCTCTCCACCAGCTCTTCACTCAGCTCCAGCAGGCGGTGGCACTCAAAGTCTGACTTGCTGCACACGCCCTCGAGCACCTCTACCAGGCGGGTCTCACTGTAGGAACAAGGCAGGGTGGTCAGAACATGCTCTGCCCCATCCACCAACCTCAGATCTCTCTACCCTTCCTGTTCTGTGACAATATCAAAGGAGAGGCCATAGAACATAATGGAAGGGATACTGTTTATGGTTTTAAATCTACTTGTGTGTCCTTGGGCAAGTCACTAAACCTCTCTGAACCTGTTTTTCTTATCTGTAAAATGGGGGCAATACCTTCCCTGCAGGTTTGTTAGATGACATCTCAGTTTCTGCAAGTGAACAACAGAATATACCCTTGCTGAGTAGATATGATTAAGTATGTATCATAGGACTGACTGAGAACGTAGCTCAGTAGTAGAGTGCTTGCCTAGCATGCTTGAGGCACTGCCAAAAAAAAAAAAAAAAAAAGTGTGTGTGTGTTTCATATAACAAATGTTGGAGTGGAATTGGAGAAACTGGGAACCCTTCTACCCTATAGGTTGGAATAAAAAATGGCACAACTAGGGCTGGTGCTGTAACTCAGTGGCAGAGCACTTGCCTAGCACATGTGAGGCACTGGGTTCGATCCTTAGCATCACATAATTCTGTCCATCTATAATTACAAAAAAAATTTTTAAAAAAATAGAAAAAAGGCACAATTAGCAGGGCATGGTGGCGCACACCTATATTCCCAACAACTCGGGAAGCTGAGGCAGGAAGATCACAAGTTCAAAGCCAGCCTCAGCAACAAAGCAAGACCCTACGCCACTTAGCAATATCCTATCTCAAAATAATAAATTAAAAAAGGGCTGGAGATGTGGCTCAGTGATAAAGTGCCCCCTGGGATCAATCCCTGGTATAAAAAGAAAAAAAAGAGCAACCATCATGAAAAAGAAGATTCTCAATAAGTTAACAATGGAGCCATCATATGACTCAGCAATTCCTCTCCTGGGCATAAACCCAAAAGAACAGAAAACAGGTGTTTAAACAAAAACTTGTACATAAATGTTCACAGCAACCAATCTTTGTAAGAGCCAAAAGGTAGAAAGAACCCAAATATTCATCAATGGATAAATGTTTAAACAAAATGCAGTATATCCATTCACTTATTCAGCCATAAAAAGGAATACTATACTGCAATATGGATGAGCCTTGAAAACATTATGCTAAGTGAAATGAGCTAGACCCCAAAAGCTATGAAATATACAGTATGATTCCCAAGGAACCACAGAAATTTCTGCTTCAATAAGGCAGATTAGTGGTTCCCTGAAGGAAGTGAAGAATGAGGAATGACTACTTGGAGGGTATGGTTTTTTGGGTGGGGGTAATGAAAATATTCTGGGTCAAGCACTGTGACACACCCCTGTAATCCCAGCTCCTTCGGAAGCTGAGGCAGGAGAATTGCAAGTTCAAGGCCAGCCTTGGTAATTTAGGGAGACCCTTTCAGAAAATAAAAATTAAAAATACTGGAGATGTAGCTCAGTGGTAGAGAGCCCCTGGGTGCAAGTCTCAATAGTGGAGGGGAAAAAAAAGGTCTTGAAATAGATAGTGGGGATGGTTACCCAACACTGTGAATGTACTAAATGTTCCTAATAGTAAATTTTTTATGTGTATCTTACCACAATTTTTAAAAAATTAATGTACAAAACTTGGTGTACTGTGTATTTAAAAAATTTGGCACAGTGGTTGGCATATAGGAGGTGATTAAAAAACAAAACAACAGAAATAACCCAGGAGTCACTATAGCCAAGGGGTCATCTTGGCCAATCCCCCCATTCCTAAATAAGGAAACTGAGGACCACTGAGGAAAAGGAGATTGACTATCATAGAATAACAAAACTCTTTTTTTTTTCTTTTTTTTGGCTATACTGGGGTTTGAACTTAGGGTGGTTCTACTATTGGAGCTACATCCCCAGTCCTTTTTATTTTTTATTCTGAGACAGATTCTAATTAAATTGCCCAGGCTGACCTGAAATTTGCAATCCTCCTGCCTTAGTCTCTAAAGTTGCTGGGATTACAGACATGCACCACCTGGGTGCAGCAAAACTTTTAATCTCTGGTGAGCATCACAATATAATCTTTTAACTCTTTCCACAATCCCATGAGAGAGGCAAAACAGGTGTTAGTATACCTCTCTTACAGGTGAGGAAACTGTGGCTCTCAGAGGATAAGTGACCTTTCCAAGATTACAAACTGGTAAGGACTGACAACTAGGTCTAACTCTAAGTCTTCATTGACCCCTTCTCCATCAGATTTTGAAAAGGTGAAGGTAGCCAGGTGTGGTGGTGCACAACTGTAATCTCAGCAACTCTGGGGGCAGGAGGATTACAAGTTTAAGGCCACCCTCAGCAATTTAGCAAGGCCCTAAGTAACTTGGCAAGACTCCATCTCAAAATAAAAAATAAAAAGTGTTGGGGATGTGGCTCAGTGGTTAAATACTCCTAGGTTCAATCCCCAGTACATAAAAAGAAAGAAAAGGCAGAAAGCCTAGGACTCTCAGGTCCGGCTTTCTGAATCTTCCTTATCTTCCTTGTGGCTTTATGTACTGACTATATGTTGACAACCCTCAAATTCCTGTTTCCAGTTTCTACCTCTCTCCCCTGAGATACAGAGTAGAATGGAGTCTACTTGGATGTGTAGTGGACATCTCAGCCCAACACCTTCAAACAAAGTGCCTAATCCCACCTCTCCCCTAAATCTTCTCTGTAGTCTTACCATTTCAGAAAACACATGCACTATTCACCCAATGGCTAGAGTGTTTTATTCTAGTTTTCTCATACCTCCATAATAAATCTATCAATGAGTTCCACTTGTCTGCCTGCAAAATATACCCAGATTTTGACCCCTTGTTACCATATCCACCACCAGATGTCACGCAGGCTCATGCTGCATTCATGCCTAAGCTGTACTTTAGCTTCCCAAAGGAGTCTGTTTCTTCTACCCTGGCCCCTGTTACAGCAGTGTTAATGATCTTTTCAAGGAATAAATAAGACCACATCACTTCTCTACTCAAAACCTTCCCATTACACTCTGAACACTCCTTTCTGTAGCCTTCAATGCCTGGACCTCTGTCCTGAATTTTCATCACCCTCCCTTTTGCTCACTACATTCCAGCCATTTCTGACATAGATCAAGATCAGTCCTACCCTGTGCCCAAATCCCTTCTCAAACTTTCACATAGCTTGCTTCTTTACTTCAGGTCTCTGTTCAAATTTCACATCTTGCCTCCCACCCTTCTGTAGTCTACCTTGTTGCTTTTTTTTTTTTCATTGACATAATTTACTCATTCATTCCTCATCTCCTCTACTAGAACTAAAGCTCCATGAAAACTGGACTTTGCTTCTTTGTTTACTCCTGTACTAAAGATGTTCTGCGATATTCACTGAGTAAGTGCTCCCCAAGAGCTCCAAGGCTGAGATTGGGAGACAAGAGTACACTCCTCCCTGGCCCAACCCCTTACCTGTCTTTGTATTTAGACAACTTTTCTTCTTCCCAGGCAGTGTTTCCACCTCCAAAGTTGTCCCGGATAGTTCTCTCCAGGCCCTGGACATGAAGACATTTAATAATAGCTAAGTACAGAGACTGACACATTCTAGCACTTTACTATCTAACTGACCAGAAAACTAAGACAAAGACAGGCAACTTGCCTATGGTCATCCAGCAACGAAGTTTTAGTAAGTGACCAAGATGTGAATCCATGCAGATGTGCCTCTGAGAGCTTCCTACTCACTACTGCTGTGCTATAATAGCTGAGACCCCCACCCTCAAGGCTGTTGGTGCACCAACCTTGTTGAAGCTGTCGACCAGTGCCCGGCAGGTATGACAAGGATGGGGTTCAGGTGGGGGAGAAGAATGGGGAAGAGGAGAGGGCTGGAGACAGACAGGACCTGGGAGACTGAGGAAGAGGCTCAGGCCCCAGAGCAGAGCTGGGATTAAGTCCTTCTGGGACTGGGGGGCCATCTTTTCCCAGGTTGAGGACCTGCAGATAAGAAGGGGTGAGGAAGGTTCACTGGAGAAGTCAGGTTCCAGGTGAGAAAGGAAGGGTCGGTTCTGAGGTGCCGCAGGGCAGAGAACCAAGGCCTGCGTAATTATCAGTAAAGGAAAATAAAGTGGGGTATTAGAGAGGAGGGAGTGGAGTTGGGTGGAGAAAGAAGCTTGCTTAATCTTCAATTCCAGAAAATAAATAAATTATCCCCGTTACCGTGGGGGAAGTGGCCGGAATCCTTGGCAAAGGGACAGGAGTCAGCCCATTGTTTTAGAGTCCCAATAAGAGTTATTAGGGGTCAAATCCGCAGAATTAGGGAGAAGGGGTCGGATTCCAAATACTGGGAGAGAGGAGGCCGGATGGGCGGTCTTGGGGGAGGAGTCTGGAACCCCAGTCCTGGGAGGAGCCCGGATCCGGATATGAAGAGCAGGGGTCAGGTTGGGAGCCTCGCAGGTAGGCAAAGTCACGGCTCACAAGTCGGCAGGGGAGGATCCAGGCCCGCCTAGACCGCGGAGAAGGGAAGAGCAGCTACAGCCCAGCCCTTGGGCGCCGCCAGCGACGTCTCGTCAACGCCACGGCCACCACCGCCTGCGTAAAACGTACAACCTTCACCAGCGCCGCAGTCCGGGAGGCGGAGCCTGCCTCCCAGCCAATAGCGCCGGGCCATGTGCCATTGCGTCACCCCACGATAACCAACCAGAGGCGGCGACGGGCTGCACCTGTCTTGGCTTTAAAGGGCCGCGGGGTTAAAAGAGGACTTGCCAGCCTAGCTGCTCCGCCACAGAGGCACGTGTGGGTAGTGACGATAGAAAAATAGCGTCTGCCTTTATTCAAATCCAGTTCCCCGCCCCAGGCTCCATCCCACGCCTCAGCTCCGGGGCTCCCGGGAACTGTAAGCAGCTGTCCAGAGCGGGCTGCAGGGCCTGGGACACTTGCTCCGCCCACTCCTCCAGCCGCCGGGGATGGGGGGCGCTGGGCCCCTGTAGGGCGCCTGCGAAGTCCAGCAGCTGGGAGGGCAGTGAGAAGACCGGCACTGTGCGGAACAGGTCGGGTACAGCGTCCAGGTGGAGCAGTCTGTCGAAGCAGGCCCCGACGTAGCGACCCGGCGCCCGGCCTTGGGAGAAGTCTGGCAGTACGCAGCTGAGCGAGGCGGCGAAGGCGTCTTGCGGGCCGTACGCCCCTGGGGCCGCAGCTGCACTGTCCTGCAGCCACTCTCTGCACAGCGCCACGGCCCCAGGCGAGAAGAGCAGGACCACCACACCGCCCTCCTGCAAGGTCTGGAGCCGCTGTGCGTGCAACCAGGCCAGGGGACCCTGAGCGCTGAGCTCACGGCGGCTCCACAGGTCTACGGCCACACGCAGCGACAGCTGGCTCAGCGCCGATGCCAGCGCGCCCACCAAGCGCTCGAAGCCCACATCATCAGCGGAATAGAGGAGCAGAGCCGCGCGGCCCCTAGCGGCCACTACGAGAAAGGACAGAGGTGTGGGCAGAGATGAGAAAGCTAGCCGCCTGGCCTCTGCCTGCAGTCAGTCCTAGGCCACGCACGCTCGCACTCACCCCCCAAGTAGAGGTCCTGCTTCCAGAGCCTCAGCCACCCTGCGAGGGAGAGGGCCTAGGCAGCCAGTGAGCTCGTCCGCCCCTTCCCTCGGGGAACTCTCAAGCCCACTGTGGCCCTCCTCCTGGGGAGCCGGGAAGCTCTCACCTTTCACGCGATCCTTTTTTAAAAGGAGGAAGAGGATCAGCGCTGCAGTAAAGAGAAGGAAGGCCAGCCACGCCAGGACCCAGCGCTTGTGGATATCTGAGAAAGCCAGGGAAGAAAGCGGCTAGTTAGAAAACCTTACACTTTCTTTTTCTGTTTAGTTTGTTTGTGTTTTGTTTTGTTGGTATACAGGGGATTGAATCCAGGTGTGCCCTGCTGCTGAGTTACACCCCCGGTCCTTTTTGTTTTTTGAGACAGGGTCTCACTGATTTGCTAAATGTTGTGGAGGCTGGCCTCAGGTGCAAGCCACCATGCTCAGCAAAATCTTACACTTTCACCCCACATCACAGAGGTGAAAAACAGGCGTACAGAAATGATATGATTGAAAAACAAAAAGTAAAAATAGTAATAAAACAAAAAGAAATGAAGTCATTGCCAAAAACACATAATCAAAGCCAGTGCATTAGCATAACTCCATCTATTTAGGCGAACCTCTGTAAGTGAATTTACATTCTGCCTCAGTTTTTGTGGCTGTAAAATTGAGGTAACAGCAGTACCAACTTAATAGAGTTGCACATGAAGTGTTTATAGGATGCCAAGCATTGTACGTGCTCAAATGTTAGCTAACATTGTCCCCTAAGCCTACAGCACTCTACCAACTAAGCTATATCCCCAGCCCCCCCAGTCCATCTTTTTTTGCTTCCAATCCATTTCCTCTGTGGCATCTTCAAAGATCTTTTTAAAATATACATTTTTAGGGCTGGGGTTGTGGCTCAGTGGTAGAATGCTTGCCTAGCATGTGTGAGGCCCTGGGTTCCTTTCTCAGCACTGCATATAAATAAATAAAGGTCTATTGACAATTAAAAATATATTAAAAGAGGGCTGGGGCTGGGGCTCAGTGGTAGAGGCTCTGGGTTCAATCCTCAGCACCACTAAAAATGAAATTAAGATATGGTGTCCACCTACAACTAAAAAATAAATGTAAAAAAAAAATTGTAGGGGCTGAGGTTGTGGTTCAGCGGTAGAGCACTTGCCTAGCACATGCAAGGCTCTGGGTTCGATCCTCAGCACACATAACAACAAATAAAATAAAGGCATTGTGTCCAACTACACCTAAAAAAATATTTTAAAAAATTGTAGCCCTAAGTTTTAAAATATATATCACATAAAAATAAAGATATTATGTCCAACTAAAAAAATAAATATTTAAAAAAGAAAAAATTAAAAAATATGTATACACATTTTATTATAACCCTTCAATAAAATGGAAGCCCCTGCTGCTGTAAATATAAAACCTAAATTCCCTGCCTGGCCTCTGCATCTTCATCTCATGACAGAGATCTGTCTGACCAGGACCTTCTATCCATACTACCTTGGAATTTCTCAAGAAAAGTATCTCATAGTCTTCATAAAAATGTATTCCTGTTCCCATCACCTAGGTCAGCCTTCAGAGTGTGTCTAGAAACTTCTCTGAACCCCTTATCTCACGTAGGTCTCCATTATATGCATTTACAGCACTGAACATTTTAGAGGGCTTCTATAACTTCAATAGCTCACCCTATTGTAAGCTCACACTTTTGTGAATATTCAGTAGCTCATAGTTACTAATTGTAATGGGCTATTTGGCTTATCTTTTATCTTCTTTTAGTGGGGGCAGGATTGTATCATTTTAGTGATGCTGGCATCCCTGTAAGCACTCATGTATTTTGTGGTACTGGAGATTGACCCAGAGGTGTTCTACCACTGAGTTACACCTCCAGTCCTTTTTTGTTTTTAAATATTTTTAGTTGTAAATGGACATAATACCTTTGTTTGTTTGTTTGTTTTTGGTGTTGAGGATCAAACCCAGTGCCTCACAGTTGCTAGGCAAGTGCTCTACTACTGAGCCATAACCCCAGCCCACCTAGTCCTTTTTAAATTTAAAATCTTTCTTTTTTCTTTTTCTTTTTTAAATTTTGAGACAGGGTCTCACTGAATTGCTGAGACTGGTCCTGAACTTGCAATCTTCCAGTTCCACCACATATGGCTCATCATATTTTTTTTGAATAAAGGAATGACCCTCTGATTTATCTGAGTGCAGGGAAGGACAAGGCCATTGCATGTGCTGTCTCAGGAATGGTCCCTGTCAAGATTCTAGCTCTGAGTATGCAGAGGAAGGGCAGCTCTTGTAATACTCACACTTGTCCATGGGGCAGGCCCATAGTGCTCCCAGGTCACCATCCCACAACTGCAAGACACAAACAACCAAGTCCAGAACCTCCTTCCAGGTTGGTGTTCAACATCCACCAGTTTCTGGCCAGCCTGGGCCATGCAGATTTCCCCCCACACTGTAAGTTTCTGCACTCTACTCTGCACTTTTTTTTAAAATATTTTTTAGTTGTTGACTTTTATTTGTTTGTATGCTGAGAATCAAACCCTGTACCTCATACATGCTAGGCAAGCATTCTTCCACTGAGCTACAACCCCAGCCCATAATCTGCACTTTAAAAAAAAAAAATGTTTTTTTACTTGTAGATAGATACGATACCTTTATTTTATTTATTTTTATGTGGTGCTGAGGATCGAACCCAGTGCCTCATACATGTGAGGCAAATGCTCTGCCACTGAGCCACAATCCCAGCCCATACTCTGCACTTTTTAAAGCTATCTACTCTCTAGGTGGATTTCCTCCATGCCAAATCTGACCCACAGGATGAGATCCTTCCTTGAAACTCTCTCTGGGTCCCCAAACTTAGCACTGTGGGTGCAAGTATTGGTTTACTGGTCTCTAGCCAGTGGTGAACTCCACAGAGATAGGAACTATGCTTCTTCTACCCTTAACCTCCCCAAGGCTAGCTGCAAAAGAAATACAAATGATAAGTGAGGACTAGCTTTAGGCCCATTGCCCTTGGGCATTAGGGAAAGGTCCTTTTGCCATTTACTCACCTGCAAACACTGGCCTGACTGCAGATCTTGTATTAACTGCTCTCCAAGGCGAGCTGCCCTCTGCCAAGAAAGGAATGGGGACTGTCACCTGGGGTCAGAACCCTGGGGAAACCACCAGGCTGCAGATGGGCAGAATTGGAGTGGGAGGCCCGCTGGGAGAGTTGAGAGGCCACAGAACACACATATGAACACATTCACACATCCATCCCCCAAGACTAGCACAAGCCTTGACACAACGTGTGTGGAGTGAAAATTTGAAGTCAGGTGAGATAGAGCTGGACAGATCTATGCCTCCACTATCCCTCACCGTGGAGTCCCGACTGGGCAGGGGAGTACAGCCACTGGGTTCTAAGGCACAGAGTGATCTGTTGTCCTGGGGGCCTCGTGTGTCCACTAGCAGCATATCATCCTTGAGGGGCCCTAGTGAGTCTGGGAGGAATGACAGGTGACTGTGAACAAGATTCAGTCTTTCTGGGAGTTGCCCCTTATCCCCCTCCCATGCCCTGACCTTCACCCCCAGCACCTCCAGGGTTCACCCTTATTACAGTGGCCTGGTCACAGCCTCCCCATGGGTCCCACTCACCAGCCCACAAGCACTCTTGGAGCTGCAGCTTCTTCCAGCTGCTCACCTGCTTGGAATTAAGGGCACAAGAAAACAGAAAGCCAAGGCCAGAAAGGACAAAAG